TGTTTTGGGTTCCCAGGTGTTGGGGGGGGGGGGGACACGTGCAGATCTGTCCTCACAGAGGAGGGAGAGCTTGTACCTGGATAAAACTTGGCCTGACTGAGGGCTGCTGGGAGCAGGGGGCGGGGCTTGTTGCATGTGCCCGCCCCCTGGGCGCCTTACTGCCGGAGCTCCGCTCCTGGGCACTCCTGCAGGAAATGACCCCTGGGTCTCAGTCAATGTATTGAGGGGTCACACGGGTAGAAGGCTACCGTAAGACTGCGAGTTTAATCCACAAAGCCACCCTGAGAGCAAGGCAAGGCCCTGTCTGCATTTGCCCCTTTCACATTTATTATGCACTCGAAGGAGCTCTCTCCCCCACCTCCTTATGGTGTGCTTAATGCAACATTTGGCTGGATTCTTTGTGCACCCCATCATGTGTCATCCCCCACACTGCAATAGGGGGTCGTCCATGCAGTTAAGGAGACTGTGCATACAAATCCACACCACCAAATGCGACTGCAGCATCCTACACACAGTAAGGAGGTAAGCAGACATGAGCCCAGTGTTACCCTCATTATTAAAGGTAAAGGTTTCCCTTGCTCGAAAGCCAGTCATCTCCGTTTCAAAGCCGAATAGCCAGCACTGTCCGAAGACGTTTCCGTGGTCATGTGGCCAGCATGACTAAACACCAAGGTGCACGGAACGCTGTTACCTTCCCACCGAAGTGGTCTCTATTTATCTACTTGCAATTTCTTGCTTTCGAACTGCTAGGTTGGCAGGAGCTGGAACTAGAGATGGGAGCTCACTCCATCAAGCGGCACACTCGGGTCTCAAACTGCTGAACTACCAACCTTCCACAGCCTGCAGTTCAGCGTCTTAACCACTTGAGCCACCGCAGCTCCTTCAGAATTAAAACTGATCTCCAGACTACAGAGACCATTCCCCTGAAGAAAATGGCTGCTTTGTGTTGGAAATGCATGTGTTTACACGGTCTGACAATCCAGTCATTGTAGGGTTAACTTGTTTACCTAGTATTGCTATTGTTTGGACTGACCTGGAAGGGAAACCTGGCACAGAGCCAATGGGGAATTAGCCTGGGAAAAGTAGTCTCTGTTGTGATACAGATTGGTTGTTTCAGGTGACTTCCTTTCTAGGGGTCGAGAAGAAGGACAGATTCTCCATTTTCTGTGTGTGGTGTGTAACAATGATTTGTACTGTAAGCAGCTTAGAAAATGTAGCTCTTAGGAGTTTGTTATTTTGCAGGTTTCCTGTATACCTTTTACCCTTAGAAATAAAGGTTTTTAAACGCAAAGAAATCTCTTCTTTCCAATAGCGCAAGATCCATCGATACTCTGAGTATTTTAAATACTTTTGACTATTTTACAACACTTTGAAGGGTGGACTTTATCGCATTATACCCTGCTGAGGTCCCTCCCCTCCCCCAAACTCTGCCATCCCCAGCCTCCGCCCTCAAATTGCCACAAATCTCCCCCACCCAGAGATAGCAAACCCTCCCTGGAAGCCATAAAATGTGCTTGCATATCTTGACAAAGCGCCCAGCATGTTTTCTGCAGTGCAGCAATAATACTTACATTGACCAGTCCAAAGTAGTGCTCATTGATCGGGAATTGCTCTGGTCCAATGTCTTTTTCCAGAGCAGAGGCATTGGTGCCCTAAAGAAAGAGAAAACAGCCAGTTATCCTCTTTCATATTAAAATATGATATAAGAGGGGGGGTCACAAATCCTCTCGCCATCCTCCACTGCCTGTGGGGCCAAGCAGGTTGCCGGCAGCGCTTTGGACCTCTCTGAACAACGCTTCACATGAGACACCTAATGTGCTTTCTTAACCCCTCTCCGGCTGGCAGTTTTGAAGGCGCCTACGTTAAAAACAGAAAGGCAGCTTTAAAGGCACTTTGGTGATCAGGTTTTGGTATGAATCGATCGGGGGAAGACTTCTTGGCAATTGCATTTCAGCTTCCCTCAGCTTTATTATTTGCATCTGGTTTTGGCCTCACGACCCCCCTACTCCCACCCCTTTGGGGACACCAGGCCTTGAGAGGCACTTTATGCAAACCTGGGTTATCTGACCAAAGCTATGGTAGGGCTGCCTGCCATCCAGCTGGCACTAGAACGCACACAAATCCCACTGTTATTAAATTAAAAAGCAGAGAGAGAGAGAGCAATCTGTTCTTTTTGACATGTGAAACTGGAAAGGAGTACAAAAGACCTCCCTCCCTCCCGCTCTCCCTCTCTACCGCCCCATTCGACATTTATTGATATGTCATAATCAGAGGTCATTTCGGGGGGGATCGCAGTTCCCCCGGGTGAGGTACGGGGGCGGGGCACATGACGAAGCCCCGCCCCCTGCTTCCGGCCGCCCCGCTTCTGGTCCTCATTCAGCCAGGAGGAGGCAGGAGAAGAGGGAGGGTAAGTTCCTTCCTCCCTGCCTCTCCCCACCCCTGCCTGCCTGGGGCCAGGGAGGGCCTTTGCAGGGCTTCCTTGCACTCCCGCTGGCCTTGCAGGTCCACCGCCGAGCCCCTCATGGGGCTCGGCAGTGGAGCTGCAAGGCCGGCAGAGGCGGCCAGGACTGTTGGAGGCGGGGTGTGTGGCCTTATGACACACTTCCGGTGATGCCAGGGGGTGTGGCCTTATGACACACTTCCGGTGATGTCAGGGGGTGTGGCATATGCTAATGAGTTATGCTAATGAGTTCCCCTAGCTCTTTTTCTACGAAACGACCCCTGGATAATCAATGTTCCCTCTAAGCTGTGGAGTCTTGTGAGCCAAAATTCTACTTTGTGAACTACTGGCATTAAAGTTGTGAGCGAGCGATTTGGCTGCTGCATAAATTAGTTTGCTCTGGAGCCCTCCTTCCGGAGCTAAGACAAAAATGTGTGAGCCGGAGGCTAAAAAACTGTGAGCTAGCTCACACGAACTCAGTTTAGAGGGAACACTGGTCATAATCTGTTTCCCAAACAGAGTCAACAGAAGCCTTCCTGATGCTATCCTGTGATACTTATTTTATTTAGTACATTTTTATCCCACTCTTCCTCCAAGGAGCTCATGGTGGGATGCGTCAGTCTAACTCTATTTTATCCTCACAACAATCCTGTGAGGTAGGTAAGACTAAGAGAAAATTACTGGCCCAATGTCACAAAGCGAGCTTCTGCAGAAGAGTAGGGATACGAGCCTGGGTCTCTCAGATCCTAGACTGACCCTCTAACCACTATGCCATACTGCAGTTTCTAGACTCTAATTTAACATTTCTGTCTTGTTTCTCTGGTTTATCTTCTTTGCAACATTGGGTGGGGTATTACAGGTACATAATTTTCTAATCTAGAATTGTAGAGTAATAGATTAGTATTTTTCTCAATGGATAAAGGTTTTCAGAGAAACGAAACTACTGAATACAAACAGGGAAAGACACTTGTAGAGAGCTTGCGAGATTAAAAAGTAAAATACCTTGCCTATAGTTGGCAACTACTAGTAGTCACAAAACTTCTCTGTACCAGTTTACTGTCAGAACACATGCCCGGTTATTGAAACTCAGGCTACAAGAAGTTTTACATCTACTATCCCAGCGGCCTCCATGTTAGCTCCTTGAAAACAAAGACCCATATCGAACGTCTTGAAGAAAACAAGAGTGTCCCGGCTCCCCAGTCGACCTGAGCCCTATCTGAACACAGAGGGCAAATGGGGAAGCGCACACGGCAGCAACGATCCTTCGAGGCTGCCTCTTGTTCTCCACAAACTCTGTTCCAAGGAAACTCTGCTCCAAATTATATCCTTCACTTCCATGGGAGGACCATGTGTGGGGAAGTTTCCCCCCCTTCCTCAATATACATTTCAGGCCCTGATAACACAGGGCCTCATTGGCTAACTTGCCATTCCTGGGAAGTTCCATTATACCAGAAGAAGGATCAGATCTCATACTTTGAGGGCCAAAACCAGAAGTGACACTGGGAATTCCATGTATCGAGCTCCCAGTCTTTGTTTTTAAAATCCAGTTATTTGTTCCTGGATTGAAACCATGGCATAAAGGGGGTGGTGTTTTAAGTCCTCCCCCCTGCTAATTTCCAACCTAAAGCAGGCCCAGGGAATACCTATTGGCCTACCAGTACCTATATCCAGGGCTCTTTTTGTAGAAAAAGCCCAGCAGGAGCTCATTAGCATAATAGGCCACACCCAACAGCAGAAACTCATTAGCATATTAGGCCAAACCCCCATGCCCTCCCTTGGCTTGCCTGGGTGCCCCGTGGCTGCGGAGAGCCCGGGCAAGCCAGCCCTTGGAGGGAAAGGAAGGCAGTTTAAATGCCTCCCCGATCCTTCCAGGCCCCCCCCCCCGGCCTGCCCGCCCCCGCGGCGCTTGGGGGCGCTTGGGGGGGGGGGTTTGCTCTCCAGGCCTTTCCTCTGTAGCCACGCACACGCAGTTTTTGCCTGTAGTGGGCGTGGCCAACTCTGAAGCCAGCCGGAACTCCGTTCCTGTGCGTTCCTGCCCAAAAATAGCCCTGCCTATATTAGTACCTATATGTTTCCCCAGTGGGGCAAATAGACCACTGAGCTGCTTCAGGAAGACGATGCAGGAAGATTATGACTTAACCCCCCCCTCCCTTTCCTTGCACCATTGTCTCAAATTGAACTGGGCAGTCACGTAGGCTGAGAATTTGGCCCTCGTGACTCCAGGCCACATCCGTGACACCAAGTGGCCAAACTGAGCACATGCACGGGGATAGTTCTGAAACAGTCAGACGCTTCAGCTGGTACAGAATGCAACTGCCTTTCTGTTCTAAGGCGTGGGTTAACAAGAGTGCATTTCTATCAGTTTTTCAGCAGCTGCACCGAGTTTTTGTTCATTTCTGGGTGACATTCACAGTGCTGGGCATATAAAGTCCTTTATGGTCTGGTTTCCCACATTCCTAAGGGGGGGTATCTTTTCCATGTTTACCATCTCCACCCCTTAGAGATAAGAAGAGTCACCACTTCTAAGATACAGTCAAGACACCAGTTTAAGATCTACCTGATAGAGGAGAGGCGGAGAAGCAAATGTTTGACAAACAGGGAGACAGGCAGCCCCAGAAGGAGTCAAGAAGGCTAGGGAAGACCTCATCCAGCTGGACGAATGGACGTTACAACTGGGAGAGAAAACATGCCTTCTCTTTGATATGCAAACACCTCTCTGTTGGGAAAGCTGGCCAGTTTGGTGTAGTGGTTAGGAGCGTGGTCTCTAATCTGGGAGAACCAGGTTTGATTCCCCACTCCTCCACATGCAGCTGCTGGTGTGACCTTGGGTCACTTACAAGTTATTTCAGAGCAGTTCTCGAAAGTGCTCTCTCAGCCCCACCTACCTCACAGGGTGTCAGTTGTGGGGAGAGGAAGGCAAAGGAGATTGTAAGCCACTCTGAGACTCCTTTGGGTAGTGAAGGGTGGGGTATAAAACAGATCTCTTCTTCTCCTTCAAGCCCAGATTGGCTAATGACTTCTTTGACACAGGTGTATGTCTGGTGAGACTGAAAAGGAGCTGTCAACCTTTGTGTGCACACGCGTGTACACACGTGTGTGTGTCAGTTGGAAGGGATGCCAAAGGACCAGTATCCTTGCTATGCACGCACCCATCAGTAAATCCCCAGTGGGGGATGGAACTGTAAGTCTTTACTAGCTTAGTAACTTCCCCATCTTTCCTTCTATAACTGTACTGTATTACTCTAGAGTTGCACGTTGCAGTAGCTGATTTAGTTAGGATGCATTGCCTTGATTCCTAACCCCACATCCAGATCGACCGCCACATGCTATTATACACCCCTGGGTGTTGTACCTCTGGGCAGCCACTGGAACCACAGGAAGTCAAAGGGAAATAAAGCAGAGGTCGTCCGAGGAGAATTCTACATCTCGCCTAATGAGGGAACTGGGGAGTAAACAAAGGGGACTTGCTGCCCAGCCTCCAGCAGAGCTGCGTGCCTGTAAGAGAATCTTGCAGGGCAACACAGCGGGAACCCTTACAGCCTAGGAAGGCATGAAAAAGGACTTTTTGGTGATGGCCTCAACTCTGTGGAATTGTCTGTCAAGAAGCTCTTTAGAGAATGCCCCCCCTCAATATTTAGAAAGAAAAATGAAACATTTTTTAAATTATGCATGCTTTTCATGCTGCACAGGATCAAAGTTATAACAAGGGAGCTTTACTTAAAAAAACAAGTCTTGTAGTTTAAAATGGTGATGAGAGAGGAGAAAAGGTTTTTCTTTCACAAATCATAGTTTATGCGGCTTTCCCCCATAGTTACAGATATTCCTGTTTGCTTTGCTAGCCTTACTGATGTATGTTCTAATATAAATCACATTAATAATTGAATCACATCTCAGTGCTTGACATATTTATTGCAAGATTGCATTCTAAGAAATTTAACAACAATATTTATTATTTATCAAGTATTTTCAACACCTATGTGCTGTACAGAAATAAGCACGCAAGTAGATTCCATGAGGCTTTAATCTGGTTCGGCATCCGATCTGGAACAGGAGTTTTTGAACAACTGCACAGTATTGTCCCCTAAACATTCCATTTCCAGGTTTTCCCCTGCTTAGATGCTATCTTTCCAAACCCTAGTTTGATATTTTTAGAAATATCTCAGTCAAAGTGCCTTTCCACACAGTGTAGATGTATTTTTAAAGGGTCCCATC